CCAAGGAGGAGGAGGAGGAGGAGGAGGAGGAGGAGGAGGAGGAGGAGGAGGAGGACGCGGAGGGAGAGGCGGCTGCCCGGGCGGCCGCAGCCCCAGACCCAGCCCCAGCCCAGCCGGGGCTGCCTTGTTTTTGTTTGCGCCCCACATTTCCTCTGCGTGCTGGCGGCGGAGCCTCGTGCGCGCGGTTATTTATTTATTTCCGGGCCCCAGAGCTCTTATAATGGAGAAGCTGTCAGCAGAAATTGCTGCTGCTGCTGCTGCTGGTGGTGGTGGTGGTGCTGGGGGTGCCGCCGCCGTCCCTCCTCTTTTTTTTCCCGGCAGATCATTGTTGTGTGGGAGGGCAGCGGGGATGGACTTGATCTTTTGGATTTCTTGCTAGAACAACACCAGGCGGCCCAGAGCGGGGAGCGGCAAAGGATAGCTGCCCCTCGGCGCTGCTCTATCTCCGAGCCCAGATCCTCCCCACCCAGCCTCTCTCTCGCCTCTCCCTCTCTTTCATTTATTTATTTATTATTATTATATATATTTTTTCGCTCTCCTCTTTTTCATTCCCTCCTCTTCCTTCACCTTCCTGCAGAGTCTCTTTGCTGCGGCAGATGTGTGTGGGGTCACCACACAGCTGGGACTATGGTGAAATTTCCAGCACTCACTCACTACTGGCCCCTTATCCGGTTCCTGGTACCTCTGGGCATCACCAATATAGCCATCGACTTCGGGGAGCAGGTAAACTCACGGCGAACAGCGCGGCCCCTTCTCCCTTATTCACCCTAGATAAATGCAGCCTTCAGCTCGAGCACACGAGTAGGATGATACACCTAAATACTTACTGCTTCTTGAGCTGTCCTTTGAGATCAATACAAGCTCCAGGCTCAGGTAGTGCACCCCACCTTCCCTATTCCCCTTCCTCAGCAATTGGAGAGTCCCAAGTGGCACACCTGTTTTGCATTTGGTCCTCTTCAGCAGCCTCTGCCCTTGGGGATTCTTTCTTAGATTCAGAGACCCAGCTCTGAGTTTACCAATAGTGAGTGGAGAGCCTGAAAAGAGACATTTACAAAGAGAAAACTAAGGAAGACTCAGTATAACACAGGTATATGCACAAACTCATACTTATCGGATAGTTGTCCTGCAAATTTTCATTTCTAAGTAACATGGCATTTATTTGTTGGAGCAAAGAGGTTTCCGCTGCTTTGTGTCTCTATGACCTGGATGTTATGTGGTTGATTTTGCTACTCACTTATGTAGGGTGAGCTTGTTTACTGTCCTTTTAAAAATTATTATTATTTAGACTTTTTCAATTGTCTGATGGATGTCGAACACTTCACATATAAAGGGAAAGGTTTTCAGTGCACAGGAAGATTATGTAATTTGTGGTTATATAACCCACTGATCTGTATCTAAATTAAAAACTAGTTTTCAAAGGCTAATACTGCTGGATTTGTATTTATCTAAGGGTGATAGGGAGAGCTTTCTGTTGTAATTTTACAAGTTAATATCCGAAGTGGAACTGATATTTTTAAAGTAGGAAAGGATTACTTACAGCCAAAATAGATACTATTCAGTTTACTTTTGGTCACTTTTTGCTTCCCAGAAGTGGTGGGATGGAGAATACCTATCTTTGTTTTTTATGCTGTCCCCCCCCCAAAAAAAATTTCTCTTTTCTTTTTTTTCCACCCATTTCTCTTTCTCCATGTGGCGTCATTGCAAATGTAGTGCTGCAGCCTCCTCAGCAGCCAGTGGATGGGTACCTGCACCGGTGGAATCCCTGACAGGGAACCAACTTATTCTACTGATTCTAATACTAGATAGAATTTGTGAGGTGATGTGGTGAGCGACCTTTTGATCCTTAAAATGCCTTTTTACATGGCAGAGCTTTATTCTTAGTCCTCAGTATATCAAAATACATTTCTTAAAGACTTGTTTTAGCAGGACACTTAAGATGTGTGATGCACTTTGTGTTAAAAAGTATACTTGTTTTCGGAATACTTTTGGTGAAACCGAAGGCTCAAGTGTTAATCTTCAAATGATAACAACCTGCTTGGATTAGCTCCCCTGTTTTCACAATACTTTTGATTCATTGCATCTGCATAAAGCTATAGACTTTCTGTGATGCAGCCCAAGGGAGATTTTGCTTCACTTTCCTCTTGGAGGGCATTTACATTGAAAACATCAGATGCTCCCTCTACCAACCAGCGTTAGGAGTTAAAGGAGTTTATAGGTGGAAAATTTGGAGTTCGTTTTCTAAGTTCATTCTAATTATGCACCTATTTCATCATCTCCTTACTTTTGTATGATAGTAGGGATAGGGAATAGCTGCTATTTTTATTGGTAAATCACACCTTTTCTCTTCTTTCCAGGCCCCCCCTCCCCCATCTTCTGGCTCATTTTCGTAAAATATTTTCGGCTTCTTTGATAATTAACCAGCACCTTTGGATATTTCCTATGTTTTTGTCAGTTATTAGGCAGTAAATTTACAATATGATAACCTTCACAGCGTCATAGGTTGTATATTCAACTTGGAATTTTGATTCTCTTAAGACTTCTCCTGGCAATCTGAGTTTTTCAGCATTCCAAAACTCAAACTACATTTTTAATATATTTTTAAATATATTCCTTATGCTGTAGTTTCCCTAGGATCACTAATTGGTGAAAAAGAAAAGGCAGTATATTAGAATAAAATGAGTTGAAGTGTGTTACCATATTGTCTCATGACTGCCTTAACCTAATAAAAGGCTGTTCTAACATGTGAGAAGTGATCTTCGTAAGACCAAAGGGCTAAGAAAGATCAACATAGGCCAGATATGAGGCAATTTTGTAAGTGTCTTATCTGAGTAAGAGTGATAATACAAATTCGTTATTAAAATTCTAGCTGGAGACAGGCCTGTACTTGGGTTAAGGTACTGTGGTATTAAAGAGGACACCTGGAAGAAGAGGGGCAGCTGCTGTAATCAAATGTTGGTTTAGGATGATTGCAACTTAAACTCTCGTGTGCTCGTAAAGAGAATTACCTGGTTTTGATGATACTGCTATCACCGAGGTAGGAGGGCAGGAAGGAGAGGAAAATCATTAAGTTGCCAAAGCCTTGGTTTGTCTTCTGGTGTCAGATGATAATCGTTTTGCAAAATGGGGGATGGAGCAGCAGTGAAGGGGAAGGAAGGTAGTTGCCACCCTACTGTCCGGGAAAACAGGACAACTGAAGAGTAAGCTGGTCATATGGATAAGGAGAGCATTTTACAATTACTTAAAGCATTCTAAGACGAACTGAAATCAGGGCCACCATAAACTTCAGTATCTGCCCCCTTCTTTCAGAGGGGAAATTGGAGCTATTCCAAACAGCCTATTTTTATCAGACATCTGCAAATGCACAGCTACTTCTATCATCAAGTTCTAAGCTGATTGACAGACATATAAGTCTCAACTCAGAAAGGGTTGATGGATTGTAGGGGAGTGGGTGTGGGGGGAGCCGTATAAATGGAATGATACATATTTCAAATTAATTAATTCATGCTCAGAGTGGGATGTACAATAATAATGACCTCTTTGACAATAATGACATTTCTTCTTGATCCTGAATTTTGACCACAAATGCTTTAATACTGATCAGGAAATGCAAAATCATAACCAACAATAAAATATTTTATTGGCTTATTTAAGCCCATGACTTACTGGGAACATATAGGCTATTTAAAATGTTCTTTTGAATTTATTTTCTTGCTGCTTTGAAAAAAAATAACCAAGAACTTTCTAGTTGGTTCAGATTATATGTAATATGAGTAGAACTTTAAAAAAAAATCAAATTATATGTAATTCTATTGAGATCAGGGTAGGCTGTATTCATGTGACTTTGTAAAGGAACTAATTAATTATTCTGAGTCTGTTGATAGTATATCTAGGTCAAGAAGAGCCACCTAATAATAAATATGCATACTATTTTTAATGTCTTATGTAAACATTAACAACGGGGGAACTGTATGTTCTCAAATTTATGCTTATAGAAATAACAATAGCATAATTAAAGAGGAAATAAAAACATCATAGGACTTGTGTAGAACCCTAACCTTTAACCTTTCTTTTCTTACTATATTTCACATTGTAGACACAATACAATATTAAATTTAAAAACTGTTACTAATATTAAAATTTTAAACACTTCCCCCCAAAATGTGTGTGAAATAAGATGATCATCTGAATTAAAAGTATTTAAAATAAGTATGTTGGCTAGTGGATAGAGAATGAGATTGGATATATCATTTAGTTCAAGTGTTTTCAGACATGTCTGATTCTCCGTGAACCCATTTGGGGTTTTCTTGACAAAAATAATGGAGTGGTTTGCCATTTCCTTTTCTAGCTCATTTTACAGATGAGGAAACAGGGTTAAGTGACTTGCCCAGGGTCACACAGCTAGTAAAGATTTGAACTCAAGAAGAGTCTTCCTGACTCCAGGCCCAGCACTTCATCTGCTGCGCCACCTAGCTACACAGTTCAAACATTATTAAGTACCAAATATGGATAAGTACTAGTCTAGGTCTAGGTCATGAATAGATGAATAAGGAAAGGTCTCTGACCCTCAAGGAACTTAAAGTCTAGCAAAAGGAACAAAGTTTGTGCACAAATTACAATAAAATAAAATAAAATAAGTGTGTAGGACAAAGACCAAATGTTATAAATGAGCTGAGGATAGGAAAAATACTTCCCATTAGGAGTATCACTAAAACCTAATGACATTGTAGTCATCTCTTAGTTGCTCAACACCTCTTATAGCAATTACAGAAATCACTTAGGAAGCAGAGTTAGTGTTTTTGCCCTCATTTTCTAAATTGAGTTAGGCATCATGAAGCTATGATTATTTCCAATTTATCATATACATGTTATACATGTATATAATATACATACATACATTCATATACCACACAAACATATACGTGTGTGTGTGTGTGTGTAGTTTGGTATTGTTTGTGCAGACTTCTTTTCATGTTGTCTCTCTTGTTAGACTGTGAATTTCTTGAAATTCTGTCTTTGTTCATCACATCCCCAGTGCGTAGCATTATGTCTAGTATATGGTAGGCATTTAATAAATGTTTACTGACTATGACCTGGCCAAGATCCCATAGAAATCTAGAGATGTGTCTGAGGCTTCTTGATTCCCAGATTACTTCTAAATCTAATAGCCTTCACTATTTGAACCCAAAGCATTCAGCAGATTCAGGAGAATCCTGGGGAGTCTTCTGTAGGACAAAAATGTTTGTGGAAAAATAACCCATGAAAGGAGAGCTATTCTGTTACTCTAAATTATCCTAATAATTGCATCTTTTTAGTTTTATTTTAAAGCTTGGTAGAAACAGACTTTGATTAGAGTAAGAATAAAAGCAAAACAGGTAAGTGGTAGAAAATGAGTATCTCTCATAATGAAATAATTTCAAAGTCATGTGTAATCAGCATAGCTAATAATAGCTACCAGTCATATAACATTTTAAGGTTTACAAGGCACTTCACATATATTATCTCACTTGATCCTCACTATAACCCTAGTGGTAGGTGCTAAATGAGGCCCGGCAAAGTTATATGACTTGACCAGGATCACAAAGTTAATGTCAGAGGTAGGATTTGAATTCACATCTATCTAGTATACCACTTAGCTGCCTTTTACATGAAAGTAACACATGGCTAAGAAGATAACTAGGTGGCACAGTAAATAGAATGCTGGTTCTGGAATCAAGAAGACCAGA